ACGCACAAATGAGCTGGTTCTTTTTAGTGACATCCAAAAAGATACATTGTGACAAGTACAGTCCGATGCACTAAGAAATTACTCAAATCAGCCAGATTTGCAGAGGTAGCATGATATATATTTTGTTTGCAGCTAAGAAGTGACTAAAGAGTGTATTAAGCAGTGCTGGAGGTAACGAATTACAACTACTCACGTTACTGTAATTAAGTAGTTTTTTCGGGTACTTGTACTTTTTTGAGTATATTTTTAAAGCTGTACTTTTACTTGTACTTAAGTACAAATTAAGCAAAATAATCTACTTCGTTTCTTTTAAATCATAGTTCGTTACTGAGTATGCCCACAATTTGAATTGATATTCAAACCTTTGACGGAACTTCAGTAGCCAATAAAAATAAGATAAAGATATCCGATCGTGAAGGGACCAATAAAAGCCCTGATATCTGAACCGGGAAAAGCCGCCACTGCAGCAGGTTAAGAGCTGATCAGACAGTGAGGGAGCTCAGCGTCACTCAAAGTTTGGAGAAATAAACTACATAGTAGTGTTATCATAAATCTATATTTTGATACCGATACTGAAATATCTGACACGGTTCCATTACTCATTTTCCACAGTATCTACCGTATATAGCCTACACTGATACAAGCTGAGTCTCTCTTTTCTCTCCGACAGTGAGTTTGACACGCATCCACCTCCTGTCGATTACAGAGTCTGAATGTCCGCGCGGGATTGCCGGTATTCCGCATAATTTTAATCATTCCCGCTCAAATGTGGCGAGCACTTTATTGTGACATGAGAACACAGTCATGTAATCGCAGAAAACTGAATGCGAGCTCTTCTTCTTCTTCTTGTTAGTTTTATGGCGGATTGCAACCATGACTTATCAGGTGCATACCGCCACCTACTGTATCGGAGTATGCAGCATGGATTATATCTCAATGAATGCACTTTACATTATCAAAAAAAAAAATTATAATAATAAAAAAATAAAAATAAATAAATATTATAGCACTACTATCTAAATCCTATAATATACCCCTGTATGAATGCTAGCTCTCAAATAGGCCTAACTTATACAAATGAACTGCCTGTCCTCTCACTCCGATATTGCTGTGCGCAGACTGTGTGTAATCGCAATCTCTCCGTGCTTTTAAAGTAGAAATTATTTCTCTTTGCTCCTGGATTAAACAGACATTGCAGGTCAAAGCCATCTGATGTTCCATTTATCTAAATAAATAGCATAGCCTATATGGCTCTTAAATCACTGCTTATAAAAATTTATTTTGTCATATTTCAAATACCTCAACTGAATTGAGGTCATTTGTTTTATAATTTTATTACTGACTGTGTACGTCTTTTTTTGTAAATTCAATTCAGTTTACATTATAAAAAAAAAAAATTATAATAATAAAACAATAAAAATAAATAAATATTATAGCACTACTATCTAAATCCTATAATATACCCCTGTATGAATGCGAGCTCTCAAATAGGCCTAACTTATACAAATGAACTGCCTGTCCTCTCACTCCGATATTGCTGTGCGCAGACTGTGTGTAATCGCAATCTCTCCGTGCTTTTAAAGTAGAAATTATTTCTCTTTGCTCCTGGATTAAACAGACATTGCAGGTCAAAGCCATCTGATGTTCCATTTATCTAAATAAATAGCATAGCCTATATGGCTCTTAAATCACTGCTTATAAAAATTTATTTTGTCATATTTCAAATACCTCAACTGAATTGAGGTCATTTGTTTTATAATTTTATTACTGACTGTGTACGTCTTTTTTTGTAAATTCAATTCAGTTTGAAATCAAAGTTGAAATCAAGCTTCTTTGTGCTGTAAGTTACCCCATTTTAAAGACACAAATACACAGAATGAGCAAATGTTTAAGATTGAGATGTTTGTAATGGTAATTGATCAATGTTTATGTGTATGTAAATAAAATTGTTCATCATATAAAGTGAACATGTCTTTTTAGAAGACTTGGATGAAACCACTCAAAGCTTGAAATAATAATTGCCTTAAAAATGGATGGACAAAAAAAATTTGAGATATTAAAATATCTATATGGCAGAATACAGTATGTGGTAGTTTTGCCAATGGTATTGATGACCCTACTTACTTTTTTAGTGTACATTACTAGTCTTGTGGTGAACAATTAAATCGTGCAAGTCAATACACTGGAAAAAAATAAAATAAAAATGGTCTGCCATCGGGAGAATCCTCTTGTCAAGTCATGACGTAAGGACTGCTGTTTCCGGGTCCAAGCCTCTGCTCATTTCACTTGAGAATACTAACTCAGCAGCCATTTATGAGCACTATTACACTATACAGTCTCCGTGCTCACAGTGTCTCAGACACTCATATTTTAGCTGAATCACTGTCTGGCCATCTGGGATTTCAGTATGGAGACAAAGGTTAGGGTTATAATTTTTCAGTATTACATGACATTGTGGGTGTATATTAGCACAGTTTGTTGTTTTCTTGTGGCGTCTGGCAGAGCATTAGGACCCAGAAGCGGTGAAGCGTGATATCAGACGTAACAAGCAGATATTCTTAACCACTCTTATCCAACCGTGAATCTGCTATGAGCAAGAGGTGGAGTGGAGGTGCACCACAATAAAACTCCGCCCTTTATTCAATATTCAAAAGTCAGTTGCAACTTCCGGTTCACGGGAACTGAAACTGCACTCTCAGAAAAAAAGGTACAAAAGTTGTCACTGAGGCGGTACCTTTTCAAAAGGCACACATTTGTACCTAAAGAGTCCATATTGGTACCTTAAAGGTACATATTAGTACCTAAAGTGTACATATTATTACAGTACAAAAGTGTAGCTTTTGAAAAGGTACCGCCCCAGTGACAGCTTTTGTACCTTTTTTTCTGAGAGTGTGGTTACTTTAATATTTATATTTTTTAAGGTATTGAAGTTAGAAATTCCTGTATCGTGACCACCAATTTCATGTAATTTGTCAATAAGATAAAAGTGGGTTTTGTTCAAAGTAGCTATTATCCACATAGATCTTTGATATGAATGAATATTTTTTGGTAATTCATTAAATATCGCCAGCTAAAAAGTAACTAGTACCTAGTACTCTAAGTAGTTTTTGAGAAGAGTAATTTGTACTTTTACTTAAGTACTGTTTTGACACCAGTACTTTTACTTGTAATTGAGTATTATTTCAGCAATGTAACAGTACTTGTACTTAAGTACAAATTTTCAGTACTCTTTCCACCATTGGTATTAAGTGCCATAATTATCCTGTCTATGCCATCAAGCACTGAAATTGACCAATTATCTGAATGAATAAGCACTTATTTTTGACAAACATTTAATCTTGCTAACTGATTTGCATACCGGGTCTTTCAAAGTTTCTTGAATATTAAGAGTGTGATTTAAATAAGGCATACTATTTACACAATAATGAAGATATTGATCCACGGTCTGTAAATATGTAAATATGTGTGTGTACCTGCAGTGCCGGTGTAATCAGCAATGGTGAGGGGGTAACCGTCATCCTCAGGATCAACAGAGAACAGCCCAACTCCAAACACGCCATACTGTGCAAAAGCTGTGCTGTTCTCAAAATCTTCAAGATCTATGCGCAGCTCGTAGTTTCCTTGGATAGACAGAGCATGGATTTGTTTCAACCCTGATGAAAGAAAGAGAATTAATTTCAAGATTATTTTTAGTCATAACAAGTGTAATTGGATTATGAGTGTAAAGTATGAATTAGGGCTGTGAATCACGTAAAATATTTCTAATAAACAGAGTTTAAAAAAATAATATTTGTTTAATGGATTTTTTAAAGTACTATTAAGTATTATCAGGGCTATATTGCCAATACGGATACTTTTGTTAAATTGATTTTTTTTTAAGATTTTGAGCATAAAATGACTACAACCATTTAAGAATATATATTAATAATTTTAACATTTAGTAAGCAAACTGCAAATAATCAGAGTACTGTTCTTGTTTATCCTTTACAACAATTTAATGAATATATTCAAATAATAATTTTAATACACTTACAATGATCATCACATAAACCGATTAAAATAAAAGTCTCTTTTAGCTTTGCCTTTATTTCTGAAAACGAACTTGATGTTTCTGTCTGTCATTACTCTTTCTGCTCTCCTATTTTAATGAGAGAAGTCTTTTCATTTTGTTTCACTTCAGATCTTCTCAATGCATTAATTTGTTAAATGTGTAATAAAATTACTAGTCAAAACATTTAGCATCCATATTTTTTGTATATGGATCCACTGTCCTCTCTATACACATTAGCAAAATATTGACTCTTCTATCCACCCCATTCCATTATATCCAGACTTACACCTGTGTGGCTTAATCTTTTCAACAAAGAATTTTCAACAACCAAGTAGTCAAATACATAATGCAGCATGAGAATAAAACGCCACAGCACAGGAAGTGGTGAACCCCACAATCATAGCCTCAGTGAGCAGAAAAACTGAGTCTGCATTAATTATGTTAATTATTTGTAACGTGTTAAATAGCCAATATTAATCGCAAAAGTAACATTATTATTCCTATCCCTAGTACCTAGGTTCATTTTCACTTTCTGTGGCTTGCATATAAAGCAATGCAATAAAACATTGAACTGCTCAAACATCTATTATTATGCAGAGCAAATGCATACTTTAAAAATTCATACATGGCTACTATGTATTAAAGCTGCATGGAAAACAACCACATCTTAGGGGAGACTCGCTCTTTTCACATTTTGTTGTTTTTGTATCACATTTCCAGCACTAGTCCCCACAAACACCAGATAGGAAAAGTCTTGCAGCACTGTTCTTACATATAAACACTGAGTTAAATTATCAAAATTAATTTGACGTGCAGGGCACAGTGTGACTACAAACATGAGTGTCTGGACAAGGAAAACTGATAAAGAAAACCAGAGGAGGGAAACGTACTCGGTTACTAACTTTACTTCGACTGAAGCGACTGCCGAGTCGTGCAGCTACATAGCACGGCCAGCAACACAGTACTCGTTCCCTTATTTCAGGGAACCGAGGTTACGTTAGTAACCGAGTACGTTCCCTATCGATACTTCACTCGTACTGTGTCTTGCTTAAGACGCTAAGGGGAACCAGTACAATCCCGCTGTGCTATGTTAGAGGAACGACCAATCCTTAAACTTGCCTTGAGCACCAAGGGCCCAGAGGGACCAAGTAATTGTAGGGAAGCCCCACAGGAAGCGATAGGGTTAAACTCACAGAGGTCGGCCCGGCGCTAAGTAATCATTCCCAGAAAAATCGTACAGCCTCGGAACCCAGTGGGGGCCAAGAGCATACCGAGAAGGCAAATGCATGATTTAGCACTGGTTTGCTAGAGTAAGTCCATTAAGCAGAAAGGACCCGAGCTTGTAAAGCCGGGACGCCAAGATAATAAAACCTGGTAAATGTGGACGGCGAGGCCCAGCCGGCCGCCGCACAAATCTCTGCAATGGAAACTCCGCTAGACCAAGCCCAGGAAGAGGCAACACCTTTCGTAGAGTGGGCTCTTACTCCCATGGGGCATTGAAGGCCCAAGAAGAGTATGCTAGCTTTATAGCGTCAATAATCCATTTGGAAAGTCTCCCTCTGGTGCGGTCACCGAAGCATGCAAAAAGCTGATCCGACCGTCTGAACGGGGCGGAACGCTCAATGTATATCCTCAATGCCCTGACGGGGCAGAGTAGATTTAGCTCTTGGTCCTGCTCTGAAGGAGGAAGTGCCGAAAGAGCTATGACTTGTGCTCTGAACGGAGTCGAGAGCACTTTAGGTACATAACCATGCCTCGGCTTCAGGACGACCCTTGAGTCGTTAGGCCCGAATTTGAGGCACTCTCTTCAGAGCCTTCAACACCGTAGGCAGGTCCCATGTAGGGACGGTGACAGGGCGAGGCGGGTTGAGCCTCCTAGACCCTTTCAAAAATCAAACAACAAGGTTGTTCCTGCCCACTGACTGACCAGCTATAGGAGCATGTGAAGCTGCTATGGCTGCTACATAGACCTTGAGCGTGGAAGAGGAAGACCCTTATCCAATAGCTCCTGCAGGAAGGACAATATCAGAGATACGTCGCAGGAAATTGGGTCTGCGCTGCGGGTCATACACCAGGTGGAGAAGACAGACCATTTAAGGGCATAGAGCCGCCTCGTAGAGGGTGCTCTAGCCTGAGATATCGTGTTTAGCACGCTCTCTGGGAGGTCCGCAGGCTCCCGTCGAGAGGCCAGAGGTGCAGGGCCCACAGTTCTGGCTGGGGGTGCCAGATCGTTCTGTTCGCCTGAGAGAGGAGGTCTCGTCTCAGGGGAATGGGCCACGGGGCTGCTATAAGCAGCTGAGACAGCTCTGCGAACCAGTGTTGGGTCCTCCAGAGCGGGGCCACCAACAGAACCCTGTGTTTCCGCTCCTTGATTCGCCTGATTACCTGTGGGATCAGGGCGATCGGGGGAAAAGCGTAAAGGAGGAGGTTGGGCCAGTCATGGGCCAACGCATCCTTGTCCTTTGAAAAGTAAATTGAGCAGTCAGAGTTGTTTTCTGAGGCGAAGAGGTCGACCTCGGCCTTGCCAAAGATCTCCCAGATTCTCTGAACTGTATGCGGGTGGAGCATCCACTCTCCTGAGGGGACGTTGCTCCGGGATAGCATGTCCGCTCCCTGGTTCAACCTGCCCGGCACATGTGCTGCTCTTAGCGAACGCAAGTGTAGCTGAGCCCATTCCAGTATGCGCTCTACCAGAATGAAGAGGCGCTTCGAGGAGAGACCGCCCTGGCGATTTATATATGACACCACTGTCATGCTGTCTGAGCGAACTAGCACGTGGTGTCCCCTTAGGTCTGGCAGGAAGGTGTGAAGGCCCAAACATACTGCCAACATTTCCAGGCAGTTGATGTGAAGCCAACTCTCCTCTTTTGACCAATGGTAGAAAGCCGGTGTGCCATCACACAGAGCTCCCCAACCCGTGTTGGAAGCGTCTGTCGAGACTACCTTCCTTCTGCAGACCATACCCAGGGGCATGCACCGATTCATCCACTGAGAGTCTTTCCAAGGGGCCAGGGCTGCTACGCAGGCCCGGCTCACCTTGACACGCATGTGTCCATGGCGCCAGGCGTGGGATGGAACTCGTGGTTTCAACCAGTACTGAAGGGGCCGCATGCGAAGCAGGCCCAGCTGAAGTACTGGAGACTTTGTAAAAGTGCAGGGAGCTAGAGACAGTCCGAAGGGAAGGGCCGTGTACTGATATGCCACTCCCTCGAAGGCAAATCTCAAGAACCGCCTGTGGTGGGTGGCTAACTGGATGTGAAAGTAGGCATCTTTCAGATCCAGCAAAAAGAACCATTCCGATGCCGGGGCTCAGGCTTAGAGACCGGCGGTGTAGCTGATGAGGCGGGCCTCGCGGGCTGCCAAGTTGGCGCCGTCTTGGGGCGACTGGCGGCAGCAGCAGAGCTGGAGCATTTGGCAAGAAGTGTCGCATTGCCTGGGATGACTTCTGTGCAGCAGTGAAGTGCTCTGCGAACCCTTCAACCGCAGGTCCAAACAGGCCAGAGGGGGAGACCGGAGAGTCGAGGAAGGGGACTTTATCCGCGGTCTTGATCTCTGTGAGGGTCAACCATAGGTGGCACTCAAGCACCACAAGGCTGGCCATGGATCTACCGATCGCCTGAGCCGTCATCTTTGTGGCGCGTAAAGCCAGGTCAGTCGCGCTGCGTAGCTCTTTGCAAGCCGCGGGGTCCGGTCCAGACTCGTACATTTTCTGAAGAAGTTTGGCCTGAAGGACCTGGAGGACCGCCATGGAGTGAAGCGCCAAGGCCGGTTGTCCAGCAGACGAGTAGGCCCTTCCAGCGAGTGCTGAAGAAGTCCTGCACGGCTTGGACGGGTGGGCGACCTTTGCCTTCCAGCCGATGGCCGTGGGCAGGCAGAGATGTGCGGCCACTGACTCATCCAGGGGAGGCAGTTTGTCATACCCCTTTTCTTTGGCGCCATCGACCGTAGTGAGGGCAGACGAAGAGGAGATACTAGGCGGGCCGAGTAGTGGGCACACCAAGATCTGGTGATCTTTCGTGGACTTCTGGGAAAAATGGAGAACCTCGTTGTCAAGGGGCTTGACGGCGCCCCGGCAAAAACCATTCGTCCAGGCGGCTGCGGGTGGGCTCCTCCGGCGGAGACCAATCCAAACCCAGCTCTTGAACAGCCTTAGACAGAACACGGAAGAGTTCGGCGTCCATGCCTGTGCTGGCAGCGCTGGACTCTGCAGACGGCAGGGGGGTGGGGTCGAAAGACGAGCCCGACAGCTCCTCCGCATCTGAGGCAGCCAGAGACACAACGTCGTCCATGGCTTCACGCTCACTCCCACCGAACGAAACCAGATCGCTCGCAGCCACAGAGGGATGCTGGTCCGGGTGAGAGAAGAGGACGGGGGAAGCCTCTCTATGTGGAGAGAGTGAGGCATGCAGGGGCTCAGCCGGCATGAGCTCACTCGTCACCGAGCGCGGAGATCCTCTGCCCCACTGCTTTTTCCTCACAGGTTCCTGGGAGGAAGGAAGCGGGAGGGCACGAGGGGCGGAGTCACTTTCTGAAAAGAAAGCTATCCGCGAGCGCAGAGAGGAGAGACTTATATCCTCGCAATGGGGACATTTAGTTTCGTTAAGTGCAGCTTCAGCATGGGCAGCGCCCAAGCATGAAACGCACTGGACGTGACCGTCAGCGGCGAGCGACAGTAGCGACGCGGCATTTGTAACGACGCCAGAAATTTGCTCTAGAAATTTGCTCTTATAGTCGCCGGAAAGCGGCAGGGGACTGGGAGACCACGCTGCTGCAGACGCCGAAAGCAACTGAAGAGCGGCGAAGTCAGCCGAGCAGAGAGGGGTCTTGATCCGCTGCGAGGCTTGTACACGGCGAAGGCTTCTTAGTCTCGTAGTGCGTAGATCTGTAGTCGTCGCTGAAGGAGAAGAAATCTGAGGATCCTATGGCGAAGTGCACGCTTATATAGCCAGATGCCCCCCCCAAATCGGCGGGCTCTGGCGGGCTGTGCCGCCATAGGCTCGTGCAGCTCCGCAGCCGAGCCATTGGTTCGTTTTTAATACACTGCACGAACCAATGACCGTGCAGTTTCACTGCATGATTGAAAAAGGCTTCAGTATTCGGAGTTACTGAAAGGAGTTTTCCCCTTAGCGCCTTAAGCAAGACGCAGTACGAGTGAAGTATCGATAGGGAATAGCAGCTTTCCATCAGTGCATACAAAACGGAGTCTCTTTTTGCTTCATTCAAAAAATAAATAAATAAATAAAATGATTTATTTTTGCAAAGAGGAAAAGAAACCTGCTACTTTCACATGCAATTTACATAACTTTAATTCAGGCTTAATTAAACCCCTTGAGACTTTCCCTAAGGCTCGTTTGGAATAATTAAACATTGGGAGTATTTTTCGCCCTTCTTGCTTTTCTACCAAAGAAGGGGCCAAACAAGTCTGTGCGCATGAAACTCAGGTGTGCTTGAATTATCAATTAAACATTATTGTGAAGACATTTCAAACGTAAGAGTTAACTGTATGTGCAACAGCAGTATTTCTTGCATGCTCACAGCAGCATGTCTGTGGATGTATTGGCAGAAGATCTGTTCCGCCAAGACCAAACACATTAACACTGTCATGTACATTACCATGCTAAAACTCACAGAGAGTTGTCATGACAGAAATAGTAAAAAAAGAACATTTCAATAGCTGTGGAGCATGTAAAATCCTCTTTTCTGTAATGAAGTTATGGTTTTGTTGTTGACCTCAATCAATAATGTGTCCTGAGGAGCAAAACTAGATGAAAACATTGGGATGGATGCCCTGAGCTACACCAGTGAGCTCTGGATCAGTGTGGATGAGGTTTCATCACCTATTTTCACTGTGTTCTAGAATCCAGTTACAGAAGGAAAACCTAAGTTTGAAGAGCAGCTCAGAAAAAGTGACACATGAGGGGGAAAAGCAGCTATATAGTCTCTAGCTCACTTCCTGACACATAGTATGTGTCACAAGTGTGAAGATGTTCAAAAGCAGAGAGCAGAGCTAGAGAAAT